CTGCGGATCTCCAGTGAGATCCGTATGATGCAGGAGATGATGGTCGCGGGTTGGCTGGCCTACTTATAGGCGATCAGCATAGTTCGACCGATTATGCCTTCACTGGGGATCAGAGGTCTCGCAGGAAAGAAAACCTAACGAGTCTGCTACCATGTCAGATATGACACAGAAGCAGATGGGAAAATGGGGCAAATATCGCCTTTATTGGGAACAATAAAGCAACCACAAACAAACACAGAAAACCAATGCGGTATCACTGTGGAAAAGTAGCTGCAAGCGCGCAAGTCAGTAAAGTGGTAATGATGCAGCGTGCTGCGGGTACGCAACAGCTGATGCCATAAAGCATGGAATCGCTCGTAAGCGCTGGGCTACGCCCCCAAGAGTGCAGAAATGCGCTGATTGGTCAGCGTAGACAAAGTATACGCTGAGTGAGCAGCGTAATAGCGCGGCACGAATGGAGTAGCCATGTGCGGGCGGGCGACAGAGCAAAGCCACAAGAGGTGTCTACCGCCTCGAGTGTGCGGTCTCTGACATACCGCATAAAATTAACGTGTTTCATAAAATTTTGTGGTAAAAAATTAAAAAACCTTACACAGATTTGACTGCTTTTGGTGTAAACGCGATTTTTTCATCGGTATTAGCGAGTATATTACTACTAATTGTTTCTAATGCCATCGTCGGACATCCGCAGATGGCAACACAAGCGCCGCTGGTACTTATCGTGAGTAAATCTCACTTCGCTTCCTGCTTATAACAGCTAGGCACCCCAAATTTTATGCACTTATGGCAAAAAGGAAGAAAAATCCTTTTGGAACGGCATGTTTAACACAATTACTGCAGGATCTCTAAAAATAAAATAAAACCAAAAGCGTCATGTTTCAACTCCTACTTACCGGTTTTGCGGTTTACCATATCTCGTACTCTCGGACCGTTTTTTGTGAGTGGTGGCAGTTATATACAGTAACTTGATGTCTGAACGATATTTTGTAAACAAGTATTTGAAACAACAGGAAAAGTTATTAAAGTGTGATAATTAATATTATTAGAATAATTAATTTTTTAAATAATTTGATTTCACGTTTCATTTCATTTCTTTTCATTTCACGTTTCTTTTCATTTCCTTTCAAAACTGGGTTTGAACCTCATGAATCTCAACCCTAGCTGCAAGTACAAACACAGTAATGGTACAAACCAAATGCGCGCCGCTAATAACCAGCCGAATAAGTACGCCGCCGGGACCGGGCGCACGATGAGGATGGCGGGAAAGCAGCGCGGTTAGGTACAGATACAGAAAGGGAAAAATGTTGCGCAAGAAGAAACCGAAAGTACTCGTATATTCATAGGATGCTATTGCCCAAAGCTGTCCTGCTGGCTGATCGAAAATATTCGCGCTTAGCGGAGATCCCATTTTGCAGCCAGATTGAGGGTGTACGTGTCGAATTGTTTTGTTGATAAAGCCTAAAATCTTTTTTAATGACTGGTTTCCTTTGTGTTCAACAACAATGATTACACACACTAAGGTTACAAGTTCCAAAAACAACCAAAATCATTCCCTTCCCCAAATTTACTTCTGCCCGGCAAAGTGCCTAAAACTGCGGCAGCGCTTCCTTTCATTATCGCTAGACTGATGCGTTGTTTCTTAAGAAGGCTTTCTCCTGTCTTTCTCCTGTCTTTCCTTTCTCCTGTCTTTCCCCGAATCGGCTTTCTCCTGTCTTTAACCGAATTAGGCGTCCAACGAAGCTGACTATATCTTTCGCGGCTTCTCCAAGCACAGCACGCCAAGCGTTTTGTGCCAAGAGCGGCAGTTCGCATGAATAGGCGCATAAAATCTACCGCGTTTCTTACCGTTGCTGTATTACCTTAAACTGCATTCATATACCGTACGAATGCGTCATGACCACTTTTTTGCCCTTTCGATATATGCTTTTGATAGAGAGCACCGTCCGTAAAGCGATAGACGTTCAAGAAATAATTTGGTAACTTACGGTATCAGTATGTACGTAGCAGCAACATCTACAATTTTTTTTGTTGAACAGGAGAAAAGCCCCACGAATGTACGGTTTGGGAAAGGCCTTCAGTCAATCTTCCAATTTAAGCACCCACCTTCGAAAGCACACTGGTCAGAAACCAATCGGCTGTTCATATTTTCACAATCCGCGCCGTGCGTACTGTACAGTTGTTAGATATAACCGTCTAATAAATAAATTAGATACGGCGTGATAAACTGGAAGACTCGTACAGTCTTCGGTTGCAGGGTGCATTTTTTTATATGAACATCCAACGCCAATAATTCGATGGTCTGTAAATGAAGTCGACCGACCAACATCAACGCCTCCGCATCCTCAGTCAGCCGGCGCCGCCCTCCCTCGCCATCGTCTTCGTAAAACGCCGGCCAACCACCGTCAATCACCTCCAGCACGAGCCACGACGCAGCCCAGGCTCCAGATATCGCTGCGCATGGCCAGTTTGCGGGTCTTACGATCCGAGTATTCGCCCTGGATTCATTCTTTCCGGCGGGATAAACAGCGTGCATCCCCGCTCCGGCACCTCTTCGCCGCGTCGATCCAGCGCGTTGGCGATGCGGCCCATGGCGGCAATTTTGATATGAGGATGGCCAAGCGTATTGACCGCGATCATGATGTTGGCGCCCCGCAAATCGCCGTGCGCATAGCGTTGCTCATGCAGGTAGTCCAGACCGGCAACAAGTTGGCCGACTACTCTGTATGTCCTGCAGCTGCGGCGCTGCCACGGCGTTGGTACTGACGAAATCGTGCAGAATTTCCCCTGCAACAGTAAACGTAAGGTTTCTTGGCGACACCGATGACTTTGAATATGTACATACATTTTGTACTCATATTACTTCTAGGTAACCTAGTGCACGACCTTACGTACATTAATCACTTGCGAAAACCACCAGCCACCTACTCTACTTCTACAGTGGAACGTACTCTGCAAGTGAGCGAATGATTTCTCTATTAGTAGTTTTTGTGTTACTCTGAGTGTACCTGGGAAGAACTCGGTGATGATTTCGTATATTCCAGGCTCCATTCCTATCGGACGACCTCGGTCCTGAGATCAGCGCATTTTTCGAGAAAATCTTTTGAAAAATTTTGTGCGCCCTCAAATTTTGCAATGAAATCACGTTTTTTTTCTAGGTAAATCGATATCGCTGATTCTGAATATAATATCAGAAAAAATTTCAGTTCAAAAAAATAATTTTTCGATAAAAACAAAATTTTGCAAAATCTATCCAAAAATTTTAAAACTTGGAATTCTTCCTTCCTATAACTAACAAAATTTTTCTGACAACATATTCAGAATCAGCGATATCGATTTACTTAGAAAAAGTGTTCGAAACGCCAAAATAAAGGATTTTTTCGTGGCGCCATTGCAACCGCCCGAGGTATTTGAGGGGCGTATGGGGCACCGGCAGTCAGAAATTTTTTCTACCGAAAAAAATTTTGAAAAATGGTTTCTATATCAGAAAAATGCGCAAAAATTATCCCGAGGTCAGATTTGCTCTAAAAAAATGTCCCGAGTCGTCAGGGGTCTCGTGGAGCCCCTGCTGATGACGGATCTGACGCAGCAGATTGGGATGGTGCAAATTTGCCGTAAAATCCAGATTCACTCGTAAACGTTGAATTTGGCGATCACGCTGTTGTTGTGGGACATCTAGTGCAATGTGCTTGACAGCGACGCTCTCATTGCTTTCAGTTAAGACGCCTTTGTAAATTAATCCATGAACACCGTTGAAAATCCCAGCCAGAAGCTCAATATCGACTGTCGCAGATTTCGTAGTAGCCATGTTCAGAACTTCACACATACTGCGATATAATCACATCAGCACAGAGAGTACTGAGACTACTGACTAAATATAAATTGCAAGTTGTGTGACTGTGTCTATGAATCATACAGCACATGTCTTTAACGCTAAAAATCAATAGCATTAGCGGCGTCTGCGCCTTGCTGGCTGGCGGCTGCTGCTCGCTCGATGCTGTCATTGCTGTGGCTGTTCAGGTTGCTTAAATACTGCGCCAGAACATGTTGCGTCATCAGCACTGCCACTGTAGCACACGGTGCCATTGAGTCAGGACGAACAACCGGCATGCAGTCTGACCAGTGACCAAAACAAGTAATCGACCGAACGAAAACAGGTTTTCACGCATCCAGCAATAGCCAGGCGACCGGGAACTGACACAAATGCGGAACTTCTATGTATATTATAATTACAGATAATATTATTGCTTCGTGCCGGCTGTGGGCTGTGTGAAACACCACGCTTACGACGAAAACAATTAGTGAGAATGTTATTGCATAAACGCTATGGTGACCTATTAACTACAAGCTTAATCACACCCGGCGTGTTTCATCCTTTGTTAATGCCGTGATTCAATTGGCAGAAACGTAACTGCCAACTGGGCCCGAACAACTCGCCAGCGCTGCCTGTGTTGATAAATTTTTGTGCATATTAACGAAGTGGAGGTCTTAACATTGCATCCAAGGTTACCAGTTACAGTAGCCAGCAGCCGGTCTCAGGTAAGGAGTTGAATGTACAAATAAAACTAGACACTTGACGCAAATTGCAAGAAGGCAAGCACATCGCAGCGATTACCGGCAGGAGAGGAGAGCCCCCAGTAGAATGCGCCGCCGGCCTGGGGCAGTACATTAAACTAACGCACGCACATGGCTACTGCCATCCATAGGCTTCAGTGGATGGTTCTGATTCAGCGTTGGGACTTGGAATCGACGCTTGCTCTCACAGCCAGAACTTTTTGGTTGTAAACATAATATTAAACATTGTACTGCATTTTGATTTCGTTTTTTTCTCGTTTAGAGTTTATTCCTGTGCCGTATTACATCGTGTTATATCTGTATATGGTGTACATGATTAACAAAATCGTAGACTTAATTAACTGTCTGTTCACCGAAAGAGGGTCAGACCCTGTGCAGAATGCCTGAAATGCCCTGAATCCACAGCAACAGCAAGGTGTACCAGCACCATGGCGTCCAGGGAATCTACGGAAGAAATTGAGCTCTTTTGTCGGATTTTTAACGGTGTGCACGGATCAGTTGACAAAGGTCTTTTAACTAACAGCAACGAGTGCGTTGTTGTTAAGCATATTCGATTAAGTATCCACCAACCGCAGCGTGAACTGCAAATTCAACGCTTAAAAGCGAATTTCGATTTCACCGCCACCTTGCAGCATCGGAATCTGGTACGTGAGATCCATCACCAGGAATGCGAACACGACAAGGATTTGGCTATTAACCTTGAGCCTTGGAGATACGAAGTCATCATGGAGTTCGTTGCAGGTAACGCTAAGTAAATACAATCCTGATTGATGTCTTGACATAAATATATACTAGGAAAATGCACTTTTGTGTGCATTGGCAGACCGGAACGCGGCGGGAAGGGTTGAAGTTCATTATTGGTTCTGAATGTGTATTGCCAGTATTGGATATATATTAAAGGGCGCTGCCCCTAGGGGCGTTCATTTACACAGCCCCCGGGGCAGTGACATATTTGCGCAGTGATCATAGTAGTTCCAGTCGCACGATGATGTACGTATATCTACAGTCTATGACTCTGCATCACTATTAATGACTCACTACTGAAATTATGTAGAAATTCTGTAAATACAGTAATAGAAAAATTATTTTGAATTATACATACGGTGTAAAACAACACAAAAGAAATATGCTGTTGCAACTTGTAGGTGAGAATCTGCACGATTTCTCGAGTACGAACGTGATAACCGCGCCGCAGTTGCAGGACATAGTCGTCCAAATGGTTGCCGGCCTGGACTATCTGCACGCACACCGCTACGCTCACCGCGATTTGCGGGGCGCCAACATAATGATTTCTATCAACGCTCAGGGTGATCCGCATATCCAATTCACCGGCATGGGACACGTCGCCGTCGCGCTGGACCGGCCCAGCGGAGCGCAGCGAGAGCGGGGAGCGTGGCTGTTTCTGGCGCCCGAGCGAATCACCGGCGAATGCATCCTGGACGAGTCCGGCGAAGTGGCCCTGCGCGGCGATATGTGGAGTCTGGGTTGTGTCGTGCTGGAGGTGATTAACGGCGGTTGGCCGGAGTTCTGTCAAGAAGACGGCGACGGAGAGCGGCGTCTCCTAACGGACGACGTGAAGGTGCTGCTGTTCGTCGGCAACGGAGGTGTGCCGACTGTTTCCGCGTTGCTTCCCACCGAGATACAGGACTTTGTCGGCAAGTGTCTGTGCCGCAATCCGCGTGAACGCTGCATGACTAAGGAGTTAAAAATGAATGCGTTTCTGAATTGCTGCAAGGATACCGTGTCGCAATGGGATCTGCCGCAACGGGTCAGACAGGAAGCCGATCCCTTCCTCTACCGGAACTGCAGCCGCTTCCGCCGATAGAAGGCTGCACCTTGTACTGCCGATCTCGCTCGTTTAAAAACTCATTGCATTATAGCCCTTTCCAATTCGCTTACAGAACTGTTTACTTCTCTCGAATCAGTACTACAGTTTTTGTTGGACGAAACAGCTTTGACGGCATTTCGCATCAGGATTTCTAATGGTTCGCGGTCAACAATAATTTACTTGTATCACACACCTGCTCATGCTTTACTGTAAGATAGTATTATAATGTTTTCGGAGCCGCGTTCAATAATACGACGAAATTAGACGAGAACAATTAATTGGAGTTAAATCTTCAGGAAAGTCTGCAGTCTGTTGCTGATAATTGGAGCTGATAATTGGTTTTCCAGTGGCATTTATAAGCTGTTCGTAAGTACTACGTTCTAGCACTTATTACTGAGAATTAACTATTGTTAAGGTACTCGTACGCAGATACTTGCAATATAATGTTATATGCACATTTTATTTCTTCATTTCAAGAAACACGGTAAATATACATTGTAGCTTTTCTGCATAAATTTTTGCTGCAGCGTTTGCAGCCTAGAGTAGAAGTACAGCGTGAGAATGATGGTTGTGTTCTTGGCACCATTGAGTGTACTCGCAACCTGGATGAACTGTTTTTGATTTCTACGAGTGTGTTTTCTAAAAATTTATTTACAATGCTGTAGTTAGCAGGCAGGTAAATGTGCGCTTTGAAGTCTCATGTGCGGGCCAGCTCGAAGAAAGCCGGTAGCGTTGCACAGCTAGCAGAAAACAGCAAGCGTCGCAAGTAAGATTTCGTTGAGAATTTAGGGTATCTATTTGGCGGTCGAGACGCTTGGGGACTTTTGCAACGGCTTTTGCCGGATTGATCCGTTTCGTTGGCCGGAAGAATCGGGGAAAAACAAGGGAATCGCGATCTACGGCCTTTTTGAGACAGCGTTTAAGTTTAGCAGTAGTTAAAGGAAATGCTGCAGCTGTTTTGGGAACTATGAATGGCGAATGCGCATCCTAAGACGACGAGTATCACTAACGATTTTGGTTGTTTTTTCAATGTTTAAATGAGTCATATTAATTAGTGTCCAGCGCGCAGGCACTTTTATGTGTGGTGGCTATTGCCAAATTAATAAAAAGTTGCGGCGTTTGAATACTGCCCATCAATCATGATTCAGTGATATAGATATTCAGTTAATTCGAGCACCAGTGTTGTCATAATACGGTGTGTAAAGGTATGGTGTGCATATATCCGTAAGCGAATATTATAAAGCAACTATCTAACCAGAAATGCAGGAGCAAAATTAAAACTAGCACTTTATTCAGATTGGCGATAGAATACAGTCACAAGTTTTTTACAAAAAAGAAACTTGACAATCAGTTTTGCCAAACTCTAGAATGCTGCAATACGGGCCTTGTTCTACGTGAGGTGCCCGCTGCTATATCTATCGGAAATACAGGACGAGAACACAACAGGAAGACGTAAAATCCTCTTTTACTCTTCCCAACACCATAAAAATCACCAAAAATCACTATAACATAGCGCATACTATGACACAGGGATGTGGCTGACAAGCTGACATAAAACACACTGCGAGCTGTGCAAAAATGATCCGTTGATCATCTGCATATCACCGATACGCTGATACGCTGGCTCTGAACCGGATGTACGTGTGCACTCGGTAGGCACTCGTACATCCACTGCTGAATATACCTGCAATGTGGCTGCATACACTGGCAAACACATACAAAATACGTATCTCTGGGCGATCCTCCGCAAGGCGGTACGAGACGTCTATAGCCTGACCACCTCCACGAAGTCTCTCTCATGCCACTGGGTGGGGTGCCGAGGTCCCCCGAGGCCCGGAAGCCCCGCATAAGCAATGCCAACCAACACAACTTCCCCTGAACCGACATGACTTCGCCCGAAATCACGCAACATCTCCCGAGGACCTGAAACAGCCCGTGAGTATCGCCGCGGGGACGGTCGACGCTACATCGCAACAAGCACCAGCCGATGCCTGCCACGAGTCAACGTCTTGGCTTGTCCACTTGGTTGGCTACACCTCACTTCGTGTGTGATCCCACTCTGTCGCGATCAATGGAGCTGATCATGTCTGCCCAAGATGGCTGCACCGATTGACACTGCCTAGACGAAACCGACGATCCTCGAAGTATTCGACACTGTCCAGTCAAATGCGGCTGAATTTTCAACTTCTCTGCGCCATTTTCTGCGTTTAAGTAGTTTTGCTATCACTGACCGAGTAATAAAGATTGGCGACATAAATGGCTAAATGAAATGAATATGTACGCTGATAACCGTAATGCTTTACTGCGATATCTCTGGCACTCTGTGTCTTACAATGAAAACAGTTAAAAGACATCATGGCCTTAAAGGCGAGTAAAATTTGGCTTATGGCCTTAAAGTTAATTTACCAAAATAAAATTCCATCGAAATGAAAGAACGCTAATTAAAATTAATCACAAACAGGAATTGGGTCAGTTATGAGAAACAAAAGAAAAATACCGGAACTCCGCTGGTGGGTACAATCCATCCAGTCCAAGCGGGACATTCCAAATCCGACTCACAAGGGCCGTATCTGCCCAAGGAGTTATCCAGTCCAACTCACACGTGCCGTATCTGCCCGTGGAGTTTCCGAATTCCACTGATAATTTCACTGATGCATCTCTGGCTAGTATGAATGGCAAATCACTGATACATTCCCCTCAGTTTGCATCTGGAATGCCGTCCACACTTTCGTCAGAGTGCATTTCGATAACTTTACTGGCTGTATCACTGATAGTGTCTGAATCAGTTTTACCTACTGGTTTCTCTGATTCAGCCGGTTCCGCTGCTGGTTTCTCTGATTCCAAAGGTTTGCCGGTTGATTCGCCCGTCTTCTCTGATTCTACCGCTGCCGGTATAGATGTGTCCATTTTGTCTGCGTCACTGATAACATTACTCTCGGCAAGAGTAGTATTCTTCATCGCTGCCGTAGCCAAGGTGAGTTCCAAAGTGACTTTCTTCTTCTGATTCTCTGGCGCTTTATCTGCGACTTTCTTTGGCGGTGGCTGATCCGGACTGGTAGGTGATGGTGCAACACTACGCTGCCCATCACCCTGGCTGGAGGAAATCTCCGTGATTCCTCGCTTCTTGAAGTTACGATCCAAATTCTTCTGATGTTCACTGATAGCATCAAACGGATTCCGAACAAATGGTTTCGGAATTTCCCTGGCTAACTTCTCTTCTCTGGCTAACGCTGCGTTATACAACCGTTTCTGTTCGATTTCATTCAGTGGCGTGCCAATTCCACGGAAATGACGCACCATACGAGCTGGCTCTTTGCGGTCATATACGAAACGATTGCTGTTCCACTGGCCTAACAACGCTGCCAACATTCGACCGAAAAAGGTACGAATATCCTTGAATTTATCCGGATCTTGCCATTCCATCTCTGGAACATCTCTGGCGATTTTCCAGATGCGAAGGCAGTGTGAAGCTGCCTTACATCCAACCAAAAACATTGCGGGATTGGCAAACGGACTGATCCACTGATACAGGAAATCCAAATAATACGTTTTTCCATGATACTGGAACTGCGACAACTTCTCGTAGTCAACTTTACTGATCGGATCACTGAGTTCATTCAAACCCAGATAACCTGCGAGTCCATTCTGCCGGATATCTGCGTACGTATAAAACAGTTCTCTGCCGTAAGGTTGCTCTGTCTTCCAGTGGGAATTTCTCATCGCTGCGTATAAATCCAATTCGCGCTCGAACTCGTGGAAGTCCTGAACCACAAGTGTAATCGCCGCCTTATATTCTGCGGATCGTCTCTGATCGTTCAGGTCCATATGCTTCATAATCATCTTCACATGATTTTCCACTGAATCCAACTCTGGCATAACTTCCTTCGGGTCTGGCTTCTTCTCTGATGTCTGTGACGGGATTGAACAATCATCTGACACTGATGCAATACTGGCTGATTCACTATAAGTTCTTACCATCTGTGGCTCGAACTGTGGACCGCTTAGAGGATTATAACTAATCCTTGGTCCTCCTCTCTGGCGCTGCTCTGGCTAACTGCTGCTTGACTGGCGAGAATCGCTGCGCTGATCTCGAGTCACATCCGCATAACGCGTCTGCGACTGCTGCTGCTGAACTGGACATGGCAACAATGGAGCACTACCGGTTCGCTGATCTCGATGGGCTGTCACTGGTTGAGGTGGACGACGTTCATCCATTTGGCGCGGTTCTGGCGGTGGAGTCTCGTGATTCCACAACGTAATCTGCTTGATATGCTGGACAACTGCGCTGTAAACTCTCTGATGATAGCTGGGATTGCGCTCCACATACTGCCACAAATCTCTCTGGCGTAGTCGCTCGTATGCGTTGAGGTTTCCGAGAACAACCTCTGATACGAGAGCGAAAACCTGGCCGTCTGTGTCTTCAATCGCTGTTAGAAGACATTCTGCGCATGGGCGACGAAGAGTATTCTGATAACATCCGCTGCACTGGCTATCATAATACTTGGCGTAAGCCGTCTGCAAGGAAAAATGGCAACAATTAACACTGATTAATGGCGCTGATTCCATTGCTGCGGAAATGGCTTAATAACTAAATTAAAAATTAATTTAGCTATTTTTCTCTGATAATAATTTTAACCAGAATTCCTAAGACACGGAATCTGATTAAATTCTCTGGTAATCACTGCGAAGTACGGTGTAATACGATATGTACTGCGCCGTATACTGCGCTAACATGGAGTATAACTCTCTGATATTTCCCTGATTTTATTACAATGCTACCATGCAATACGTGTAATATACAATATGCAAACCATGTAATGCGTGTAATACGGTATTAATTCTCTGATAATTCACTGAATTTATTACACTGTTACTATGCAGTGCCTTTAACTGATAATCACTGGCTACCATGCAATACGAGTGATGTGAATATTCTCACCGATTTCTGGCTATCACGCAATACATACGGTACTTCTCTGACTATCTCTGATTATTGTCTGGTTAATAAGTGAAGTTAATCTCTAATAATTTTTCTCTTTTGCGGTTGTTCTGGCTCTGGTAGTGATGGCAGTGGGTGTGTCAAATGAAAACACACTAAACGATAATCGTCATGCTCATAATGAAAATCGTTTTCATTATTCATCAGCTGGCGTTCGTACATAGTCATCTGTGTTACTGGCAATGCTGGCATTTCTGGCAAAATTGTGCGAATATAATGCACTGCCTCGCTGATCGTTGTGCCTCTAGCACTCCAAATCTCTGCAAATGCACGCGGAATTAAATCTCTCCAATAATCTGCGGAACTCTGGCGTATCTGTGGTAATCGTGTAATTACGAAACCACGCGTATGAAACACTGCCTGAGTACCTCCATAAAACTGGCGTACAATCTGCCGGGAATTATGCATCTGCTGCAACAAATACGATACTGCGACTATCGTATATTCTGGCCTTTCTGCGTACAATGTCTGCCAAATTAAATCTGCCGTTGGCTGATGGAAATTAGCCTGCAACTGTAAAATCACTCTGATAATATCCTCTGGAGTTAACTCGTTATTCACTGGCGGGGGAGGTGGAATATTTTCTTGCGGCAAACCTGTCAAGGCGCTGAGTCTCTGAACACGCGTACTGCGAAGGGCAAAACGATATTGTCCTTCGGAGTCACGCACTGTATTTTCAATACGCTCCACTGCCTGCTTTTTAACACCAAGTTATTAATGGCTTGATTAATCGCTCTGATAGTCATCTCCAAGGACATATGTGCTGGCTGAGGAAATACTGCCTGAATATACTGGATGATTTCGATTACTGTGGATCCATTTGGATCGTGAATCTCTGAAATCGCTGCCTCTACTGCCTGATGAAATCTTGCGGGTGATGTTAAATGATCTTCTGCATGCTGAGCACGGCGAAGATCTGGCGTATTATAACGTGCTTCTGTATACCACTGATTTGTGCCATCGCTGAAAGTGCGAATGACACTGCCAATGTTCACTGCCAAATTAATTGCCTCTCCAAACTCGGCTAGGTTTGGATCTGAATCCTGATGCCAAGATCTGTAGATGGCTTGAAGGTGTGGCAATGTTGGTCTTTTCTTCCTAGGACTGCGAGATTCTCTGATCGCATGAATGATTGCTGGGATAATTGCCAATAATCTGGTTCGTTTACTGCCGTTTGTACGAGCTTTCTTCTCTGCCGAAGTATTCTGCTCTGATTTCGGAGGAGTTTTCTGGCATGATGGTTTACGTCTACCTGGCACTGTTGCTGGCTCTGGATATTCTGGCGATCCTTCTATCGGTATCTGGCTTAATGCTGATGAAGAATGCATTGGCATACGTGTCATATCAACCCGTGACATTTCTAACACTGGCGGTGGTGGAAGCAAACCTGGCGGTGGGGGAGCTGGCCCTCTCGGGTGAAATGGGATCGTACGCGACACCATATTCACACGACCTGGCTCTCCCGAGTGCTCAATAATTCTGTAAATCCATCCTGGTGGAGGAGGAGGATCAAACACTGGCTGAATCTGCGGGTTTTGATTCGGGATCGCTGGCGGGGTTAGAGGTGTGTTGCACCGTAAACCACCAAAACTGCCTGATGTTTGCAAAGATCTGATCGGTGAACTTACTGTCGGGTTAATGGCTCGTAAATTACCGAAATTCGCTGATGGTATAGCCTTATCCCGAGACCGTGTGACTGGTCCCTCAGATTTGCCATCTACCTGTTTCTGGCGGATACTGGCTGCAATATCTGCGTTTGGGACTTTAGCCCTAGCAATCCTACTGAAAAACTCTGGCTCAATAGGAATCGGTCTCTGATCCTCGCTTTTAACGTTACTCTGGCTTTCCTGCGTATCTGACATAGTAATACGGGGCTGTACTACTATGTTCGGATCCCTGGATGGCTGGCTTGGCAACACATTTCCTGCGGTTGATTGCATCTCTGCCTGTTCTGGAGCGGGTTTAGGGGATGAGCTACTGTCTGGCTCGACTTGCTGTGAACTGCTCTGTAGCTGTGATACTTGCTGCTGTAACTGCTGATTTTCCTGCATGATACGATCAAAGTCTGCCTGAGTAAAGTTTCGCAAAATCGAACTCCCCTGTGTGGAAGTCGACACTGGCTCTGATACAACATTCTGCACTGATGCCACATTCTGATCTGGCTCAAGGCCAACTCTGGCTAAAAGTTCCGATTCTGAGAAAATCGACTGCCTAGACTCTGCCCTAGGAGAAGTTTCTCCAATGATCATAACATGCTCTTCCTCTGATGTTTGTGAGTCTTCCTCTGCCTGTATCTGATCTACGACTGCGGGAGCTGATTTCTTCCGTGGACGACCGCGGCGGCTATGGCCTCGGTTAGGGTCCATTACTGAAAGATTAAACTGCTGACTGTCTGATAGCTGTACTATACAATGCCAAGTCATGCACATGCAATTGGTTAGTAAATTGCAAAAATTCACTGGCAAATATCACGGATAATTTCTCTGATAATAAACAAAATTATACAACACAACACTATGATGTACCATGCAGTGTATATGATAATCAATGCTGGCATAATTTTTTTTTTTTTACTGATTAGCTGCACCATGTCATACGACTCCATACAATACACTGATTTATGGATTTCACTCTGCGATACTTACTGGCAAACTGGCTAAGTTCACTGAGCACTGAATAAAAGATTACGGTGACTGAATATATGCCCCATACCAATGTTTCTCTGCTAATTAAATTATGAAAACATTATTAACTGGCTGGGAATCGCGGTTTACGACGTTTCTGGCGTGTAAGTTTTTCCACAAGATCTGCGTCTTCTGCGTCTGTCTCTGATTCAAGTGGCTGGGTTAACAAATCATTCGGCGTCTGACGATGCCGTTTGATTTTAACTTTGCCCTTACTATTTGCTGTTATTGTCCAACTGCCATCAGAATCACTGGACGATTCTGATGTATCTGTCTCTACACTGACTTTCCTCGATTTGCGTTTTACAGATTTTCTGGCTTCATTTTCTGGCGGAGGGGATGATTCCACACTAGCTGGCTTATCCTCTGAACTCGAACCGGTCTGAGCAGTAATGCCCGAATCAGTACGTCATGAGCAACATTTAAACGATACTTGAATTTCTCCAAGTAATCGTCTATGTTGTCATAATCCTCTGGCAAATTTGTCTGCGTAATTGTGTCACCTGGAAGTGACTGCTCTCTGGCATACAGCATGTAAAATGGCGAATGATGAATTGTCTTCTGCACTGTACGGTTATATGCTGCCACAAGAAATGGGAGAAATTCATCCCATCTCTTTTCGTTTGCTCTACCTGCTAACATGGATAGGCCATCGCCTATCCACTGCATCTGCCTCTCAACAAGTCCTCTTCCCTGCGGGTGGTACGCTGTACCAAACTGATGTTTAATTTTCAACTGTTTCGTAATGGCATCAATAACGTTATTAAGGAAATGACTACCTCTATCTGTATTAATAATTAATGGTGCTCCGTATGGCAATATCACGTCATGTAATAAGAAATCTGCAACTGTCTCTGCTTTGATCTGGAATTGCCTTTGCGACGACAAACTTCGTCAACTGATCGATGGCTACTGCGATAGTGTTATTCCCTTTTTTACTGGCCTTAAGTGGACCTTTAAGATCCACTTGGATGCGAAAAAATGGCTCTCCGGTTTTAACTTGCTGTAACTTCCCTGGCGGTGCCTTGCGCGGCACTTTTCTGAACTGGCATTTCTGGCAACGTTTTACGTACTTATAAATATCGGTAACCATATTATCCCAATAATATCTCACTGATATGACGTGGTTTGTTTTCTGAATTCCCAAATGACCTGCTGCGGGTGAATCATGCATAGCGCGCATGATATCTGCTCTCCAATGCCTGGGAACGACGAATCGCCGGTTAAGACGATCGTCCTTCTCACTGCGTCTGTACAACACTCCCTGATGTAATTCAAACTGTTTATAAAGACTGTCTGGGTGTTGGCTGTTTGGCTTATCCTCGAGGTAAAGAATCATTTTCTCGAGTGATGGGTCATTGAGCTGCTCACTGCGTAGGAATTTGAAGTTTCCTTCTTCTTCCTCTTCACCTGGCTGTGCAATTTTGACTGGCTGACTATTATCTGTCTGGCTTGCTTCTGATACAGTAGTCGCGTTGATATGACTGATTAAACCATGGTTCATACCAGTGGCATCATTATATTGCATATTGGCGCTAGTGATATTCCCCATACCGGTGGCTATGTTTTTCTGGCTTTTACCGATGGATGTTTCCATACCAATGG